GAGCCCAAATACCCTCCGACCTATTTTTACCCGAAACTCTCAAAGTCGGCAAAAATAGCTCAATATGTAAACATAACATATTATCACACAAATTCCAGATAAATAAAATAATTACTTAAATAAATAAAATAAGGACTCAATAAAAATGGGAAATCACAATCGGGGCGTTACAAGTACCGTGTACGCTAATCAACTGAACCATACCATTGTCACATGTCAAAATGCAACGCTTTATTAATTGAGGTGGCACGCGTGTGGCCTTCAGATCATTGGACTGGTCAATAGATCTAGTGGCTCTGATACTTTCTGATTTCTTTTTATTTCTTTTATCATTTTTCTATTTTCTTTTATTGTCTTGATTGATTTTAATTCATATTAATTAGAATAATGATCAGAAGATTATGAAAAAAATATGTGGGTGATCTTTGTTTAATTTCTGATTTTTCCATGCTTTTGGATTTTATTTTGGTGTTGTTTTCAACTTAATGTCCATTTTTCTATTTTTAATAATTGATTAAAAATGCATAATATGACTAGTTTGCTTGCTGATTTTATTACTAATTCATGATTTAGAATTTGATGTTGAAATTTTACATGCTTGTTATAGACTCCTTGATAGGTTTGGTTGATTTTTGTTGTATATTTTAGATGATTCTAAGTAGGAGTTTGAGATAGATCTTTAGGAGAATTCCATGATGGATCCCCCTTAGAACACCTTTGGATTTAGATTTTATTTGAACCTTTAGGATTAGGTTTTGCCCCTGGTTTTCGTACCATAAATTCTTAACCCATGTAGGATAATGTAGGATTTTCCTTGAGACTTTTAGAGTTGATTTAATATTAGTTCCCCATTTTGACAAGTTGGCTTTAGTTTAGGTGACCCTAACTAGGATAACTTCATGGATTAGTCTTTTAAGTGAGCATTAGATGATTCTAAGTTTCATATCCTTTCTTGATAGAATAGAAATTAGGTAGATACCTCATTAGAACCTTGTTGAAGCCTTGATAGAGCTTTTGATTCCCTTAGTTTAGGTGATCCTTGTGGCTAGTCTGTAGGGTTTCTTAGAAGTTGTTGTGTTACCTTCTTTCCCCTATGTGATTTCTTCCCGGGGCTTTACCCTATCCTCTTTCTCCAAGTCTTGAAGAGGAACCCTCCTGGGAGAGCCTAATCCTTCCTTTGGTTGGATTCTGTGCATTCCTCAGGAGGTTGAGCCTTGAATTGACATTCACCAGTATAGTACATTCCTTTGGTTTGTACTATCTTTGTCTTGCAAGTCTTGATGAGGAGCCCTCCTGGGAGAGCCTAATCCTTCCCTTGGTTGGATTCTGTGCATTCCTGAGGAGGTTGAGCCTTGGATTGACATTCTTAGCATGGTATATTCCCTTGGTTTATATATTGTCATCCATCTCAAAGTCCTTTTCTTAGGATCCCTCTTGGGAGAGCCTAATCCTTCCCTTGGTTGGATTATGTGCATTCCTCAACAGGTTGAGCCTGAGATAGACATTTTGTGTTGATACACTATAACCAGTTACCTTAGATTGATATCTAGGACTTATACCCTATTTTCTGTCCTATTGACATAGGATCCCTCTTGGGAGAGCCTAATCCTTCCTTTGGTTGGATTCTGTGCATTCCTCAGGAGGCTGAGCCCATGATGGACTCTGATGTTGATACACCTCCAACCTGATGTAGCCTGGGATGACTTCCTTGTTGCTCATTTTGGTTTCTCTCCCTTGTTTGACACTTGTTTGATGCATTAGAATAAGTTCATAATTAGAATATTTTAGGATAGGAGCATGACTGCTTAGACGTTGAGTGAGTCTCCCTCTGCTTGTTTGCATTAAGGGTTGAGGTGATCCTCCCCTTGCTTGTGTGTTGTTTTTCTTTTTATCTGTGTGTTTGCATTAGAGGTTGAGTCTGTCTCCCTCTGCTTGTCTGTTTTGATTGTTTTCTTTTTTGATTGCTTAGAGGTTGAGTGAATCTCCCTCTGCTTGTATTGCTGCATTGCATGTGCATCTTTACTGTTTTCCTCTGTTTATCTGTTTTACTGATGTTTAGCTGATCTTTGTCAATTGTCTGTTTCCCATTGATATGATCCCCTAGGACTCTCACTTCATTTGATAAGGAAGTGATGATAGAACTTTAGGTTGAAACCTATGCATGATAACATCTAGGAGTTCCCTGTTTCAAAACTCAACCATAGGATGAATCCTTGGCATGACAACATTAGGGATTGATAGTTTCCCCATAGAGTTCATTCTCTTCTCTCTAAAAACAACGGTAAAAAACTTAATAAAGGCAAGTTAGTACAAGCGCGTTACGAGCCTTAAGCTACTTGGGTAATGATAATTGAGCGGTCTCCTCTCAATCGTCTAGAGTGTTTAGTATACGTCCTTTGAATGATATGCGATGCATTTGTTCCTAGGTCATAGTCTCTAGAGCTGTGCAGACTACAGACAACCATAAAAAACAGTTCTTCTGTAAAACACAGAAAACAAACCTCAAACCTTTTTGCCCCGTGGGCCCATAACTCAAGGAAAACTTTTCTGAAGAAAAGAGTGTCGTTAACTCTCAGTTCTACCGCAAATAGTAACGCCCGAGTCTCTGACGAGCAAGCTGCATACGCCAAACTACTGGAACTGTTTGTTAACCCTGCTCGGAAAAACAGATGAATCTGAACCCCCGTGATCCGTATTATCCTGAACTATGTAAGCTCTGATCTCTCATACCTGTTGAGAGTACGTAGGCACAATACTGACGTATTGGCGAGCCACCTGCCCCATAAACCGTAGTTAGCGACCCCCATTTCCTTCTCTTATGAGATTTTATTTTTAAGATCATATCACCTTTCATACCAAAACGAAAGCTCCTCATATACGATAGCACCAATGATAGAAGTAGAGAATGCTATCCTTCTTCTTTATTTCATCTGCAGAGCCTAATCCCTTTATCCCCTCTCCCTTAGGTTAGGGTGCATTCCTGGTGAGTAAGCCGAGTCCTTCTTGCTTGAAAGGAATAATAGCTTGCTTCCTTTGTGACTGAAAACTCTTTATAAGTCCAATTAGGCCTGAGCCCTTGTGGTAAATTAGCCAGCCCACTTCCACCAGTTCTGACTTCCTAAGGAAGTGTAAGCCATACTTTCTTGGCGTTGTCAGCCACGCTTTGTTTGAGAACCGTTGCAGGGCATGTGAACTTCTTTGTAAACGAGCTTCTTCCTAGGTCATTCGCTTGCGACCACTTACTGGAAAGACTTGCCTTATGCCTATCCCTTGTTTGCTGGATTTTCCTTGCCAGATTTCCTTTCAAAACTACTGCTTGTCCTGTTAGTCTGTTAGATCGCATGGACAGAACTCCTAATTCCTAATTAATGGCTGGCAGGTAACGGGAAATGAATGGAATGGCATTGGCTTATAGGGCACTCCCTCTGGATGGATTAAGATAACAGGCCTCGTCCCAAAGCAAAGGAAGAAAGAGGCTTGCTCACATAAAATATCCCAGCAAGGGAAAGATCAGCCCCATAGCGTATTCAGGTATATCCGCAATCGCATATTCTGGGCCATCTACAGCCTATATATATGTATTTCCTGCAATGTCCAGGCCATTTCCTTTCGATGGCAGATCCCGTGGAAGTTCAATTTGTTTTGCTGTCGGACCAGGAGAGTGAATCAAATAGGTTACATAGGCAGGACACGTGAGTTCTCATACATTTCCTGGCGCTGTTAGCCTGCCCTAATCTACTTCCTTCTCCTTTTTAGAAGTGACTGTTTACTCATCTTTTCTGAAGTGAGCATATACTGAATCTCCCCTAGTGTAAGAAAGTTGATTTCTATTTCTAAAACTTGCCTCTTGTAAGTGAGTGTATAAAATGGCATATCTAAGTTAGTTTGAAAGCCGGGTTATTAAAATCCCAATGCCCTCTTTTGACATTGTTCGAGTTCTCTAGCGCCTGAGTCTGTTACGGTGAGTGAGGAAGCCTTTAAATTGAAAGCAGACCTTTCTTTTATTCAAGTAGGAATTATAGGCAAGCTAGCAATTCTTCAAGTGAGAGTTTACATCCAGTGCTACATTTAGAGTTCCAGTTGCAGGAAAGAGACTTAGGAGAGCCAGCAAGCTAGGTTTTAAGTGAGCAATCTTGTGATTTCCTTGCCATCCAATTACAATTACAGTTTCTATCTAGTTTCAGTTCCTGTGAGTAAACCAGTTCAAGCAAGGGTAAAAGCATATTCCGATTCCGACTAGCTGATTATAGAGTCATATGCTAGGCCAGTTTCCAATCATCCTATTTTTAGTTTGTCGTGCCAGGCGAGCAAATGGGTTCCCTAGGCAGTAATTGGTTGCAGGGCATTTTCCTTGGATGTTTTTTCTGTCCTATAGATATAGAACAACCGGTAAAGCCTTAATGAAACCTTTGGGTGATCAAAGAAGAGAATCAAGGCTCCTCTCCTTTTCTAGGAATCTACAACTCTCTTTACTCAGCGATACTCTACCCAGATCTAAAGAATTCGCCAAAGAGCCTTCTTCTAACTAGGAGAGTAAGCAAGCTACCGGAAGCGAAGCTTCTGGCTCCCCCTTTGAATTTCCAATTCCTTCTTTTCGTTCTACTTAGGTGGAGCAATCCGAACTCTAGACAGAATATAAAAGAGCGTCTTCGAACCTGTGTAGACACCTCAAAGAACTCATGTGGACACTCCTCAGCCCGAGCCGAGGACAATTTATAAAAAATACACATTAAGATGTTGACCCGTTTTTCTTTTCTTTGTTGATTCCTCTCAATGAAATTTGCCATGTTGCACTAAGTTACTTACGTGTGTATGCATGCGGTTCGGGAACACTTTGGGGTGAACACCCATCCAAACAAGTAGGGTCAATAGTTCAACATTTAGGCCGTAACATTTAGCAACAAAAAAATATTTAACCCAACAAGTGCTCTCCGAACCAAGCTAGATAGTCTCCTATCACTAGGCTCACCAACCAACCTGGACTTTTATTCTGATTATTCCTACCGGATATCAAAACCATAAGGATTGTTTCCAGCCATGAGTTCCCATATTACATAAGCGCTCTTGGGTGGGCTGGGCCATTCCATCAAATCATTGAGAAGGGGCCCAATCTCGTATTTTATGGTCGGCGTGGCGATAGGCTTCGCTTCTACGACTGCCTCCCCAGCCGTTGCAAAGACTGAGCGAGAACGGGGCGGAATGTCGTTGCGCGGGGATGCGATTAGCCAAGCTGGGGCAAACAAAGCCGTCCGGCCGCGTACCGGATTAGGAATGCGAAGGCCTTTCCTTCGAAAGGAGACCGGGGAAATAAAGAGCCATGCTATTGACTGACCCTTTCGTAGTGACTTCGAATCAACAGTCCTATCCTTTTTTATCATTTTATTTGAGGCGGGCCGAATAGAGAATGAAATGCAAAAATACGGGAAGAGTTCCAAACCGGTTTAAGGGCTGCTCGCCCTACCGAAGTACTAAAGGCTTTCGAGGCTTACACCTCCCTATTACACGACCTAAAAAAAAGGTAGCTTGTTGTAGCGCCCTTAGAAGAAATCTAAGCCTTTTGAAGCGCCAGTAGTTGTAGCTGTGGCCACACCAACCCTTTCGTTCTTATCGCTCTAGGTTTCTATCTATATGACCTCCGGGCGGTACAAAGTACACCTCTTCCGTAGAGGCGGGTAGTAACCTACCTAACCTTTAAGAGTATGTTCAAGGGGGGGAGCCCTCTTATCTATCAATGAATAGATCTCTGTGCGTGATAAGGAATCCTAGAAAAGATTGATTGAGACTCCCTCCCTGGTCCCACGAAGATCTCTACGTACTTGTCAAGTCCAGGACAACTGAGATCTTCCGGTCTGCGTGCGTGGGAGCAGCTCAAATAAAGAAGAGTCTGGTCTAAATTCAGGCTCGGCCCGCCCGTCTGCTGCTAGATCCGGGAATGGCGCCAGGCGAGGGCGCCGCTATGCCCCACGGCTCTGCAGCGGCCGACCCCCGGACTATACAAAAGAAAGAATAGAGGCCGGGGGGTCTCGCCCATAGTGGTTCCCCCCCGCCTTTCGTGATTGACCAAACTAAGAGGCCTAGATCTGTGCCCCTTAATGAATCAAATGGTCCTTCGGCCCCTTCATTTTATTCCGACGGCCGACATAGATATCATGAGACCCGTCCACTATTACTATGAAAAAAGCCCTGCCTTTTTCCTTTTAACTAGGAGAGTAAGCAACTTCTATTAGCGACGGACCTTGAGTCGAATTGATCGTGTCATGTGCAACGTCCATCAATGATGGTTCATTAATGTCCATTGATTTAGACTCCTTCCCCCTTCCCAACTACGAATAAGATCGAGAGGAGCCCCCCAAGAACGAAAACGGAAGCCTTTCGTTTCACTCCCCATTATCTCTTAAATAAAGCTCGCCCTCGAGCCTTGGGCAGGTCGGCCGGGTCTTTCCCTGTTGTTCTGTTCCCACCACGAGAAAGACGCACAGAAGGAAGAGGTATGCCCGGTGCGTAGAGGATCCGTTGAAAGTGTCTGTTGTATCGGTAGGAGTACTTTACGATCTTTTCCCTGTATTGAATAAAAAAAAGAATTGGTCAGTGCTACGACCCTCTATTGTTTGATCCAATATTGACCGGGGACGAGCCCCGACTTCTATAGGGCCTTTCCTTGGTTTGACCTCCCGTAGTGGTCCTTGCTTTTAATAAAGCTTGCGAGGCTAATTTATCGTACTTGCTCAGTGTGCCCCCCTTTCGTCGAGTTCCCCGCCCGGTTCACTGGGCTGTTGGCCTACCAAGCACTTGCCCGCAGCTCCTCCCACCCGCCAAACAGGCGGAGCGCTCGTTATCCTTACTGTTCTCTATGCCGGGGCCCCCTCCCATTGCTCTAGCCATAAGCTATGGCAGCTCCAGCTCGAAACCAAAGGGGCCCGCCCTGCAAGGCCAGAGTGGGCTCAGTGGTCAGCCCCCATTTGAATTAAGGGGTCTTTAGCTTTTGCCAGATCTAGAGAGATACTACGAGTCCTCCGTCTCAGATTCCATCGCCGCGGCCATCTGGTTCACCGGTACTACTAAAAAGTCTCATGCTTACGTTACTACTGTTACTTATGGTTAGATTATCTTGGACCCCGGTCGGTCGTGCTTCTGGTTTCCATTCCCATCATCATATTGATATGATCAATCTCCTCGCGCTCTGCCATAAGAACTTGGAGTCCGTATCATGGTGAAGGTAAGGTAACGCTGTGATTCTTGCTCAAAAAACAGACCAAAAGCGTTCAACTTATTGGCTCGTCCAACCCAGCAGCATTCATGAGTCGCTCGTTCAACTGTCCCTCGGAGACACGGTCGAGAACATGCATGGTTGCCCCCCGTCCTTTCTTGCTCTCGGTCCCACCCAGCAAGATACGGCTCAGCCAAAAAACGTGAGCGCCCCTGCGCGAGCCTTATTTTTTTAGTAAAGTCACCCTAAAGACTAAAGACAGAAATGGATCAAAAAAAGGGGGGACTTCTGCAACGGGCTATACCACCCAAACCAACTGAGGGAAGTCGCATCTGCCCCATCGCAAGCACCTACAATGTCATGATCACATTGGTTTACCCTTTTTTCTTTGGTAGTTCAACGGACGGTCGCCCCTCCAACAAGAAAAGGTATAAATATGGAAACTTCTCTGCCATTTGGATTGGAGAATTTATGGAGGAAATCGGCTTTTAAATTTCCAGAAACCACACGATTATATAGCCAAAGGGAATACACCGCGCCGAAAATCATCCCAAGCGCTGCTAATGTGGCTACTAAGCTATTTCTTTGGAAAGCTCCTACTGAGATGGGAAATTCCCCGATAAAGTTGCTAGTACCAGGTGAACTCATATTGGCCAAAGTGGAAGAGAAGGAAATGGTAGAGAGATTCGGCATGGTGCTCACTAACCCTCCATAATATCTAACAAGTCGAGTCTTATGTCGGTCATATAGAACACCAACACATAGAAAAAGGGCTGAAGGAACCAGTCCATGACTTAACATCGGTGGAATGCTACCTCCAATTCCCTGTATGTTCGATAGAGCCAAAGATTCCCCCCCACTGATCGGAGTACGCCGATTACCCCCCGAACCGTACAAGATAGTTACCGCCTATCATACAACTTTCTAACTTAACTTTTTTCTGGTCGTTCCACTCTGTCGATCGATGGTAGTATAAGAGATCTGATCTGTAACCCCCCAAAATTTTTTACATAAGGGTTCCTGCTTTCTACCCATAGTTAGCATGTATCTCCCCGGGTCATACTTGAGTATCACATCATAGACCCCCACTGCAACTCTATCTTCCTTATCAGTGAACCGAAAATAGTGCATAGGTACTTTTCAATGCAGCGGGGATGAGATGACATACTACGATCACGTACAGAAGTGCTGCCCTTCGGCTCGGCAATATGGAACCTCTCAACAACCCCCGTTCCTTTATGAGGTCCTATCGGGATAGGTAGGCCCAGCCCAAGCCCTCCCCCTCCCTCCATAAGACCCTCTTTCTCTTTCCCCCTCGAGAAAGAGAAGAAAGGGTTTTTTATCTTCTTTCATGTGAATGGCCCTATCTTGTATCGAAAGGTTTTTCGTGCTATACACCACGTTGAGAAAGACCAGCCTCCTATGTACCGTACCATTTTTTTGACCCGGGAGGTCCTCCTTATGATGCTACGGACGGCTGTCCGAAGTGCAAGGGGTAAACTCGGACAAGGACAGGATTGCGCGCCCCGGGCCCTCCCTTCGGGTGTCCAATTTTGGCCGAGTTTACCGTACCTCCGGCCCTTATGTTACGCGACCGTAATCTTTTTTTATGTTCCACCACTGTTACGCCAGAAAGAAAAGGTTCCACACGAGCTCCCGTTCTGCGGCGTGGTGGCAGGACCCATAGGAGATTGGCTCCGGGTGTAGATAGGGTAAAATCCGCAGGAGTCATGCAAATACATAGGCCCCTTCCCCTCTCTTTTAGATGAATGAGATGGTTTGGTTTATAACGTCTTTTCCTATCTACGGTCCCTCGGAGTGAGGGGTTAGGCAGGTAGTATGGGCCCTCTGACTTCCATCTATGTGTTGTGCGGCTCCCACGGAGCGAATGAAGGGAAGCTCTTCGAGCTTACGCTTACTCTCAGCCTCTTTGATTGGTAGGCGGGCGGGCCCCCTACTTAAGATTCCATTCATAAGGGTAATTTTTTGTTGTCGTGACGCTTTGGTTAGGCCGACTACTAGACTACTAGAGGTTACTTCTAGCTTCTGTAGGGGCCTTTCCATGTGTAGTTTTAGTTTGTATTGGTACTGAATGAACATATCAAACAAAGGCGAGTAGTATAAGCCCTTCTCTGGCCTGGGAAAAGCAGCGAACTCTAGAAGCTAGGGCGTTGTTCACCTTTGGACACGAACACTATTCCGTTCTCAGTGTAAACCCGCCTTAGAGATTGAACGGCAATAAGATAAGTCGACGTTCAATCTAAGACAACATTGATAGCTTGTAGTGAACTGCCCCTTTCTTTACCAACCAAAAGCAGCCTTTGGTACTTAACTTAAGTAGGGAACCCTTGCAACTATGATAGAAAGCCGTTTGCTTGTTGCCAAACCCTTCGCCTTTCTTTTGTTTTGAATCAAAGTAGGTCGCGACTGTTGTATTTTTGTTTAGTAGGTCGGGGGAAGCTACCGCTTATACGACAACTCTGCTTCCTCGTCTTGCTTCTGGCAAAGCTTCTACTTTGCTTGTGCGAAGGCTTATTAAGTCCTTTTCGCTAGGTCCAAAAGCTTCTGTCAAAGCTAAAGATCTGATCCAACTGAAATCCCGCACGCATATCCGCTGCGCTCAATATGCGGCTACGGCTAGGCGATCATATCGTGCCAAAAAACCTTTTTTTATGTATAGAGAGATCCCCTAGATATACAAATAGAATAGATGTTCATGGATAGACAGACATTCCATTGATTCTTAGTTTTGGGGCTGAAAAAGCTCGTCGATCCAAATGAATCATTCTCGTGGTCTCTCTTCGCCCCCCGGCCCGAAGCTGACCCACAGCACAGTGCCCATTCGCTTCGCGCGCGGGAAGGCTACGAAGTTCAGTTCATGAGACCGCGGCGGAGTGGAGCAGCCTCGACATGAAGTTCCTTACCTTAGCTGGATCTCGATGGTGCCACCTAAACGGTAAGTAGTTGACGAATGTGTGACGTTTGGAGTTGTCGTTCGTGCACCTGTCCCCAATGGAAGAATGAGTGATCCGTTCCCCTGCAGATCATGGCCTTACCACTCGGTCACCGATGGCCTGCGGGGGATTCGGTATAGCAGCTTACGTTTTTTTGCGCTGCGCGTTCCTGCTGGACACGTGTTAGTTGTAGGAAGTATGGTTCCAAAAGTGACTT